TATATATATATATATATAATGTGAGCTTTTGTGCTTAGCATATTATCAGTTTAGTGTATCCTTAAATTAGTGAATTTAGTGTATTCTTAGTTTAGTATTTAGTGTATTTTTAGTTTAGTGTATTTCGTGGTTCATGTCTTGAATCTTATTTCTGTTTTTCTTTACAATTTGTATTTTTGTTGGATGTAACTGGGACCCCATGTACATAGTTTCATTCCACCACATGTACCACATGTGATGTGAATGACAAAGAACCTTGAATCTCACACTCAAGCCCTGATACCAGATCACTCTTACATCTGGACCTTGACAACGCTGTTACTACCTCCCTAGTTGGTTCAGAGGTGTAACAGCAGCAGGTTGACTTCAAGCCCCGGGTGTTTTCTTTTCATGAATTGCACAGACAGTAAGAACCTTTGTGAAGTGGACTAAAGATTTAACCAAACCAAGTCAAGAACCACATACAACACAGCTGTTTACAAAGCCTGAACAGTTATTAATTATTACTGGTGCAATACTGAAGTAATGGTACTGAAGTGTATTGCATAATTTAATCTTCGTAAATCGATCCAAAAACATCAAATTAACATACATGTTATGGTGTCTATAAAAATACAATAAAGTCTCATTGTTTGTCTCATTCCTACCATAAGGACATTGCACACAAAGATTGAGACTGACCAGCTAATGTTCCGACGGCAGATCCCAGGACAGCGTGGACGGCCAGCAGTGGGGAGTACAACACCACAGCCCCCAGGATGAGGAGGGAGGGTCCAAGGGTTCCACAGGCATAGATCTGACCCACACCAAGAGGGATGCCACAAATCACCTGCGCAAAGACGAGGAATTAAGGCAGAATTTAGTTTGACGTTTGCAAAATGCAGCAAACTAAAACTTGATGTTTATTTCTAAGAATTAACCTCCAGAAGCAGATAACGCACATTCATTCCAGTCTAAATCAGATTTTCTTCTCTTCTTCCTGCTTATACACTTATACAAATGCTGTGAGTTTCCATGGTGACATGACAAGTAGACCTGCCGGTCGCTGATTTCTACAAGTTATAAATGCCTTTTAATTGTATATTTGCCCCTCTACTCCTTACGCTCAACGTGTGCACGTGTTTGTCTGCATGTGTATGTTTGTGTGAGATTAAAGAAGCTGTCAGTGCAGCTGGAGCTCCAACCTGAGCAGAGTGAAGCTGAGGACATTAAATATAAATAGGACAGACGTCATCCCCATCTCTGGAGGCAACCAGAGGAGAGATTGGAAATGGAAGGGATGGAAGGAGGAGGAGGAGAGCAATGGGAAAGAAAAAGGAGAAAGAAAGAATGTAGAATCATACCTGGCATCTTTAAGTCTATACAGCTTTGAAAGGTGGTCAAATAGTTGTTAGCTGCTGAATTACAGTATGTTGAAACCAAGAAATAAATGGGGATGGAAAAATAAAAGACTGAAAATGCAGAAAGTGAGGAAAGAAGGAAAGTGATCTGCATAGCTCAGGAAAAAATGAGATAAAGCCAATAGAAGACAGGTGCGGAGACTAAAAAGGATTTAGAGGCTTTAGATGTTTTAAGAAGCAGAAATGAAAATTAATTAACTCCATTGCTAAAGTCAGAAACAAACTAAGGGAAATAAACGTAGATTGTTGTAAATGAGGAGAAAAGGGACCGAAACCCCCCGAAGACGTTTCTGTAATTATAGGAACACTGCCACAGGGAGCTGTGATTGTTAATAAGATCCAACATAAATACAAATGATAAGAATAAGAAAATCACAAAACCTATCATAAAATACATAACATTATAAACAAAAACTTAAAAAGACACAGAGCATGACAATTACAGCAACTGGTAAGAGTGCTAAGGGTGGAGTACAATGTATTTGATTGCACAATACTGCTAAAAGTTGTTTCTGCAGCAACAGGGGTTCCACTCATGCAGGTTCAGTGATTTCTGCTTGGTGACGATCAACAGGCTGCAGTCTGCGAGGATGCTCAACTTCTCCTCCTCCACCATAACCCTCAGCACTGGCTCCCCTCAGGGCTGTGTGTTGAGCCCCCTCCTGTTCACTCTGCTCACATATGACTGCGCAACTACCCATCCAGGCTGTCATATTGTAAAGTTTGCAGACGACACATCGGTGGTTAGATGCATCACAAACTACGATAAGTCCAGCAACAGGCAGGAGGTGGGACACCTGGAGAGCTGGTGCAGGAAGAACAACCTTCACATCCATATGAAGAAAATTAAATAGTCGTGGACTTCAGATCAAAAGTTCAGGATCTAACTCTGTTCTTACACACTAAACTAACTGGGACCAGTCACCAAAATAACATGCAATTTAAGAAAATAATTTGTGAGAAATATAATTTTAAAGCAAGTTATCCAACAGTGACAGTTGCTTAGTAACAAGTGAGTCGGACCAGATGATTAGTGCAGGTTCTTCATGAATCATGGCGACCAAACGTCTGGCTTCAGTTCAGCTTGTTCTTTATCTGTTTTATTAAGGGTTTTGTTTTCATGATTTATTGGTTTTGTTTTGATTTGTTGTGATTTTGTCTGGTTTTCTCAGGATTGTGATATTTTGCTGACAGTTAAGTTCCTTGGTTTGTCTTACATTTTGCTTCTTACACTCCTGAATGAGCTTAATATATTCTGTTCCCTTCATTTGTAAAATCCCCATTTTTTATATATTTTTTAGTTCCGTTTTCCTCCTTGCCCTTCATTATGCCACTTTACATCAACAATGTCTTCTTTTAATTGTTGCCTTTTCTTTCTTATTCATGTTTTTTTGCTGTTGTTTGACTTTAAGATAAGATAAACTTTACTCTCTGATGTAACTGTTGCAGAAATTCTAGGACACGCCATTTCTCATTTAATCTTGGGTTTTGTTCCATCCTTTTCCACACCGTTTAACCGTTGTGTAATTATTCTTTCAAACATGCTGTAATTCATATACTAATGTTCACACAACTAATAACCTTCCTCTTTTTAAAAATCACATTTACAGACTGGTTTCACAGATGTGCCCACAGTGACAGTGGTCTCAATGAAACCTTAAAGCAAAATGTCAACAAATCATAGATTATATTGCAGTTTTTTTTAAAAAACTTTCCCATTTATATACCATATTTAGAATTTAAACTGTGTGTTTAATTATTTATTATTTTAAAAAAAATCTACATTTACAGATTATAGTTCTGTAAAATGAAAATGTGTGTAATATTAATAAATAGACAGTAAAGCAGCAGATTACAGAAAATCACATGTTAATTTAAGGAACAGAAAAGAACCAAATTCAATATATGTAGGAATGAGAGAAAAACAAGATCAGTCTATATTGTGATTCTCAACATTGAGTCCCAGAATTGAATTAAACATAATCATATAGTCTTTCAATTGAATTTATATACAGTAATCTATGTGTATTATACGGTTTACAGCCAGAGATTAGATTCTACTTTGCTGATTTGTGTAAAAATGGCACAGAAAACACCTGGAATGATAAGTATTTGAGAAATGAGCCATTACAAGTTCTTATTAGAACTCATTTTCTTGGGTTTCACACTTTGATTTTTCCTAGATATGCTTGTTTTCTCAAATAAAGTTGGTCTGGACTCACAGTACCATAAAACTCTTTAAAAAAATAAAAAATAAAAAAAAAATAAAAAAACTACTGCACTTTAAGAAAAGGAGAGAAAATTGTTGCTAATCTGCATTGCATCGACCTTGGAGAAGCTACAAGCTTCAAATACCTGGTGGTGTTTACCTCAAAATTTGGCTATATGAAGTCGCCATTGAGACGTACCAGTAGAACTAAGGCAGACAGAAATCAAGCAGTCCGCCTGACCACAAATAATAGTCATTTGAATCTGGCTCGACCATGTCGTCCTTGAATTTGCCAACTACCCCAAACTCTCCTGGATGTTATGTGAACAAGAAGCTCTGCACGCCACCTCCCTACCCGCTCCCTTCCCGAGGACATTTGTGGGCCTGTGTCAGAGCTGAGCCGGCTGATAGACACTGCACCATCTCTTATTGGGACTGTGGAGACTATCTAGCAGAGTCCATGGACAAACTCGCCGCCTTCATTGGCCTTCCTTATGCATATATGTATTCTGATGTCATCAGTATGTTGCTGTTTCTGTGCTGTGGGATTTTTTTTTTTTCATTATTTGCAACTTTTACACTATGTCCTGTCTAGGACACAGTGTGAGATATGATTTTTTTTTTTTTTTTACACCTCTTCCCTCGTGTTTCTCTTTTCTTATCTAAATGGAAAGGGCATCGCCTCTCATGAGGCCACAGCCACAGACACCTCCATCTACCCATGTCTGTTTGTTTGCGTTTTACTTGGACGGGCTGTGCTGAAATTTAAATTTGTTGTGCTTCGGTGCAATGACAATAAAGCTGATTCTGATTTAGTGGCCTCAATGGTAATATATTACACAACAATAATGTAGGATCCCCAGCGTTTTCATTCACAGCTCTTCCTACACAAGATGGCGCCAGTAGAACCACACCTGAGATCCACTGGGACTAATGAGCATCTGGAGTACAAGTAGCAGCAGATTACTTCATCTGATGCTGTTGCATTGTCTCCCTTATGGTAGTGTGCTCCTAGCCTGTTAAATTCATCTCTTTTCGTGATTTAAAAAACTAATCCTTCATGGTCTAGTTCTGGCTCCTGTGCTCCACCTGTGCCATGGATCTCCTGATTTCCCTACTAGAACCTCCACTTGCTCTCCTCAAGCTGCTCCTTGCCTTGCACCTCTTGCCTCCTTGTACAGACCCTCCTGGAACCAAATGGACCATTCGCTTCCACGACCATCTACTAATTCCAACAGTAAAAACTACATTGTCTTCCCCTTGAGATTCGTTTAATCTCTTACAACTCTCTGCCCCTTGCTCTCCAGGGTTCCAGCCCCTCCCTGCCGAGTCAACGCATCACGTCATCCACTCACTGATTGTAAATAAACACTTAACTTTTCCTGGTTTTGAAGTCTTGTTCTTTTCTATCAGTTAATATCTGGGTATTGCTAAAAACCTTAAAAATAAATAATACAAATAAACTATTTCTGTTGATGTTTTTTCATGGTCAGAGTTACTGTTGCTGAAAATGTTTCTTTTCTGACTGAAAGGTTAAACATCTAGCTGTGACCTTTTCATCAGACAGAAGCTTTCAGCCTCATACAACAAGGTGCATTAACTTCTGGTGACTATTATTCAATATGTCACAATTCAGCTGTGAAAAAACGTAATTAATTATATTTTACCATGCAGAATGGCAAATCGCTTCATTTTCACTCAGCAATTGTTAAATGCTAAAACATGTTTGCACATACCACCATGGTTGCATCATTTTTTTAGGCTTATTAGCTGTTTGATGTGCACACCAGGACACTGTTTTACCTTGTTTTGTTTTGGTGAAGCCCTCACCTGTGCTGCAACAAGATTTGTGTCGTTGTGGTCTAATGCTCCTGGAGGTACGGTTGGATGGTGTGGGAAATAAGTGTTGTCCGCTCCAGTACAAAGGAGATACAGGACGATGATGATGTTAAAGGGAAACACAGAAGCCGGCAAGTCCCAGTGGTCCAGAAATGTGGTGAGTCCGCTGGACAGAAAAACACTGGAGGATAGAAAATAGAAGAATTGATGATTAGCACTTATTTAGATGATAAAAGTTAGTACAGAATGTCTGTATGGAAAACTCACCATGTAGCAGAGCCCAAACAGGCCGGGAGCAGTAACCACCAGTACCAGTCTCCAGCTGAGCTGTACACCCCCATCAGCAGGGACACCAACATGCCGTTAAACCCATGAAGGCCTCCTGCAACATCCGCGCTACAAAACAGACAGCTGTATCAGTATGTTTGATTTGTTGTATCCTATGTTACTCTGAAATCATCTTAAAAATCAAGATTAAAACATTCATAAAATGTAGCTTTTTATGAATCTTCATAAACCAAACTTATTTAAATGAGCAGCAACTCTCAAAGGGAAGGTTAATTTATTCAGTGCGCCAAACTTAAGAAAACATTGTACACCTCTGTTATTTTTAAACCCCTACTATTAGCATACTGTTCAGTGGGTGGAATATATTTAGGAAATATCCTGATGCATGCTCAATAATCCAGGTTAAATAATCTAACAAAGTTAAGTCAGATCCTCTGAATGGATAATTTTTTATAATAATAATAATAACAATAATAATAATAATAATAATAATAATAATAATAATAATAATAATAAAATAATAAAATAAAATAAAACAAAATAATAATACTATATAAATAATAAGAAAATAAGAAAATTTGACAATAAAATTAAAATAAATTAAATATAATAAATTAAATAATAATACTAAATTAATAAAAAATAAGAAAATAATAATAAAATAAAACGTAACAATAGAATTAACAATTAATAAAATAATAATAAAATAAATAAATAAATAAGAAAATAATAATAAATTAATAAAAAAGATAACATTTTTTTATCCAATTTTCATTTTAAATAAACCAAAACAATTTTATTAATTATTTGTCGCGGCCTTCTAAGTTCCAAACCAAAATTTTCCAAGAAAGGCCGTGTGTGGCAACAGGTGGTCAGTTTCTTGAACGCACTTCCAACTTGATTGTTTGAAAAATATATGTAGTTTATTTCGCAAAAAACGGACAAAACAATAACTGAAAAATCTCTTACAAATTGGATGAAAACAAAAGTGAACTTAATCTCATTTTAAAAGTTCAAAAGGTGTTAAAATAAATCATTCTAAAACCTCCCATCATCACACAGGACGTTTGACAAACAAAAGCCTTCCCACCACACCCCTCTGGTGTGTTCTTAATCTCTTTAATTAATGGGCGGGTCCAAAAGATACCAAAACAATTCCATAATAAAAATTTTATTACAGATTTTGATTCCATGTTAACTAAAAAATATTTTAACTGACCAAGGACAAACTAAATTGATAGAACTTGTGATTTACAAAAATTCAACATAAATGGCCACAACATCCCGGTCCCCAATTCCTGTACAACAAGAATTACATCTAAAATTTGTCCAAGTGGCCATTATTAAATGCATTATCAATATTAATATTAGTAGACTTAGATCTTCAGTAGCTTTCTATTTTCAAATAGCTCACTTAAACTTCAACTTACTCTATGCAGCAATCCATGTTATACATAAAAAAATATCCATTTTCCCCTTTTTGTAGTTCATATAAAAAGGTAAAAACAGTCAATGTTCAATGATTTCAAGTCGTTTTCCTGTCTATGTGCATGGACTGTGTGTGTAAAAAGGTGTATGTTGCATAATGAGATGTTCAACATGTCAGTAAATGAGTATCAGTGTAAATGCAGAGCCAGAGGTTCCAGAACTTGGCTCAGTTGTTGGAGACAAACACTTCCCGTTGCCTCTATACAGCCTCCAGCAGGAGACATTGTTGATTGGCTTCTCCAGCTCATTTACTCCAAACTAATCCACGTGCATCTGCCATGGTTTCTGTGGCGCATCGAATGGGCCAAGAATTTCTTGGTGCAGCCTCATCGACAACAAGTACCACGTCATCGCTGGCAAAGTTTCTGCGAGTTTCATTCCACTTCTGTCGTTCTTGCAACATAGTGAGGCATTCTTTCACCCACCTTTTCCAGAACAGGTCCACAATGTATTGGGTTTGTCTCCATCGCCTCCGAAGATACAGGTCCTCCCTTTTGAACAACCTGGCGGCAGCACAGGTTTACCCTTTAACTGGAGCAAATGATTTGGAGTAAGAGCCTCCAAGTCTTTGGGATCCTCAGAAGAAGGTGTGATTGGGCGATCATTTAATATAGCCTCCACTTCGCATAAAACTGTATGCAAACCTTCATTATCTAGTACTTGTTGGTTTGTGATAGAGCACAATACTCTCTGTTGCACCAGGCGCTCTCAAACACCACCACGGTGGGCCCCATGGGGGGGTTAAAAGTCCACTTTATACCATCCAGTGCTCAACATTTTTGGATTTTGCTTTGTTTTAGCTCCAATATGACTTGCTTTAATTCACAATTTGAGCTGACAAAGTTGGTTCCATTGTCCGACCGGATTTCTTTGACTTGTCCTCTGCGGCAGATGAATCTCCTGATAGCATTTATGCAGGAATCTGACTTTTGTCGCCGTCTTTGACACATCATACAGTCTCTGATGATCTTTCTAGCTGCTGAATTAGCATGAGGGATCCAGTACTGACGTCGAAGGGTAGAAAGCATGCGATTTCTTCCTCTGTGACCAACCTTTTCATGTACATGTTAAAGAATGAGTTTTGAAACATGGCTTTCTTTTGGCAAAATTGCAGGATGTTTTATTTCCTCGGGTAATGCTGCCACCCACTCTCAACAGACCATCAGTAACAACAGGATCAAGCTTGTACAGATGACTTGACTTCTTAACAGCACTGGAACTCAAGGCAGCTACTTCATCACCATATTTTCTTTGCACAAAGCTCACTATGGCTTCCTCAGCTGTGGACAGATCAGTTGTGAGATGAGCATCCAAGTTATTGTCCTGTTTAGCACACATTTGACTTCCACAGTGTGCATCCAACAAGTTCTTTTTCTTTGTTTGCAGACTCTTTTAGTTTCAGGATCCATGCTACACATCTTTTTAGCTTTGTCCAACTGGAAAAGTACATTAGCAGCTTAGTAGTGGGACATACTTCTTTCAGCACAGCTACACGCATCAGGACCTGCTCTTTAACCTCTGGATCAGCTTCCAGATGTGCAGGTATTTCTTTCATCACTGCAGGCCACTGAATGTTAAATCCCCCCTTTGCACACACGTCTGTGAGCTGCTGATAAAGAGAGATGGCCTGCTCAACAGACTGAACAGACTTAAGACAGTCATCTACATAGAAACTGTGCCTGATTGCATTTACAACCTCTTCTGGGTACGTAAGTTGGTTGTCCTAAGCAATCTTTAGGACAATATGTGGCACAACTGGGGGAGGACACTGCACCAAAAATGTGAACCAACATTCTATGCTCAACAAGCTCTTTTGTGATGTCACCGTCTGGCCACCAGAGAAAACGTAAGTAATTTCCATGTTCCCCAGCTACTCTGACTTGGTGGAACATCCCTTTAATGTCTGTCATAAGGGCTGCTGGACCCTGCCGAAAGCGAATGAGCACAACTAGTAAGGTGCTAGTCAAATCTGGTCCTTGTAACAGCTCTTTGTTCAGTGATGTTCCAGCAAACACTGCAGCACAATCATAAACAACCCGCAGCGTTTTCTTGCGGGGGCGGTAGACCCCATGATGAGGTATATACCACACCTTTCCTTCCTCATGTTCCACCTGATCTTGTGGTATTATTTCTGAATGCCCTTCCACACCAACATTGTGCATAAATTCTTTGTATTCTTCAAAGAATAGCTGATCCTTATGAAATCGTTAACAGACATTGCGCCCTCTGCTGGGCCACTTGTTTGTTGTTGGGCATTTTTACTTCAGCATTACGAAAAGGTAATTTCAAGTAATAGTGACCATCTTTAAGCACAGCTGACTTTGACATGATGTCCATGAACTGTTTATCTTCTACAGACATTTCAGCATGCTCATTACACTGGTGCTCTACAACATCTTGATTACTGACTGACCAGCATATCTTCCAAACTGCTTATAGAAATACGGTTTACCTGAATAGAACCAGCAAAATGTCCATGTTCTTCACTACCCTGATTGAGTGAACCATTAACAACCCAACCAATACGTGTTAGCACAGCATAAGGCCCATTACCTTCACTGTTAACTATTTTCCAAGGTTCCAATGCTTTGGGAGAATTTACACCAATAAGCAGCCCAATGCCAGCATCTATTGGTGTCAACTCAACATCTTTTAAGTAAGACCATTTTCTTAAGCCTTCCTCTTTAGGGATGTTTTCTTTAGTGACAGGAATGGATTTTTGAGTATACACGTCAGGCAACCTTAACTCATTTTGTTTTAAAGCAGCTACTTCCAAACCAGAGAGTCTATAGCTACTTACAGGCCTTTCCTGACCCATGGTTTTTAGCAGGATTTCAACTTTCTTTCCAGATGCATCATCAAAGCCTCAGTACAAAATGTTGCAGAGCTGCCTGGATCTAGAAAGGCATAAGTCTCCACAACCTTTGTTCCCTTTTTCAAATTTACCTTTACTGGAACAACTAACAGAGCACATTTATCAGACTCGGCCCCAGTATAGCTACTAATATTCAAAGATACATGAGCATTTGATGCTGGTGATTCTTTACATCCAGTCTTAATTGTTTGCCACTGGTGTTCTTTTGGTTCATTGTGCAAAACAGTAGGGTGACTTTTATTACAGTTGAGGCATGTCAAACGCTGTGGACAATCCTTACTCATATGCCCCTTCTGCAAGCAGCCAAAGCATAAACCATTAGTTTTAAGAAATGTCACATTTTCTTTGTTGGGTTTCTGCTGGAATGAGTCACATTTCTCCAAAGAATGCTTTCCGTTACAAAACAAGCACCGAGTTTGAACCACCTTTTTATCTTCATGGCTAAACTGAACCTGTTCCAATTGCTGTTTGTCATTGTTCTGTTTAGACACTACAGCAACAGAAGTAGCAAAACTGCTGCTTTTAGTTTTAAAGGGAACTTTTGATAATTTTAAAGCCATCTCTTTTGGGTTTTGACCCTCCCCAAAAACAGGATCTAAATCAGCTCTTGTTTGTTTTTCCAGAAAATCAAGAAAATCTTTAAACTTTGCTGTACGATCGTACTTCTCTTCTATGTCAACCACAATTATTCGCCATTTATCACGAAGTCTAAAAGGCAACTTTGGAACAAGAATCCTCATATTGGTTGAGTTTTCAAGCTCGTCAATAAACCCAGCTTCATCCACTGCGTTGAAGCAGCTTCTTAAAAAGAATGTATAAGCTCTTAAAGCTGCAGCATCATCAGACTTTAAAACTGACCAGTTCGGAGCCTTATCGATAAATGCAGATGTTATTTTTGCTCTGTTACCAAAGTTCCACTCAAGCTGTCTTTTTGCTTCCACATAAGCATTTTGTGGACTCGTGCATACAACTTCTAACCAAAGTTCTAGGCTGTCCTGTGGCAAACTGCTCTAAATAATAAAGCCTATCCTGCATGTTATCCATCTTCGTTTCTATTCCTTGCTCAAATGCCTTAAGAAAGGATCTAAAATGCAAAGGGTCACCACTAAAAACAAGAATTTCTACAGATGGAAGGAGTGAAAGTCTCTGCTGTTTGACCAGCATCTCGGTGATTTCGTTTTGCTTTTTCATGATCTCTGTTAAAGCACTGCTATGGACATAACCCTGAGAAGCAATGTGTCCTGGGTTTTCCCCTTCTGGTTTTAATTTTAATGTTACATTAACAGGTGTCTCTTGGGGCTTTGGGCACAGGTGAAGGAGCTGACAATGGTTTCCATTTTCTTGGAGCCTTTTGAGCTGTAGCAGCAGGTATGAACTCCGTAGACGTTGCAGAATCTGAAGCATCCTTGTTTTCAACTTCAGCGCTGGAATTATGACTTTTCTGACCCTGGGTAGAGTGTAAATTTGTATTTTTGCATCCGCTTTTACAACGTAGTTCTTAAAGCCAATGCTTCTTCCTTTGATTTTAATTGAACTTCTTCCAGTTCAAGTACACGTTTTTCTTGCAGCGCGTCCACCTCAGCTTTCAGAGCGACTCTTTCCACCTCGGCTTCCATCAGCACCACTGAAGCTGCACGGGAACTTTTACTCCGCGCACTAGAAACTTTACTAACATTACTGGGCGCTTTACTAGCGACCTTGCTGAGTGGTTTAGCTGTGGTCCCAGATAATCTTTCAGAAACTTTGTTGATCTTTTGTTGTACTGTCTGTGAGACACTATCATCTGGCCCAACGTCAGGGTCATGAGATGCCTTTGACTCAGTGTCACATGCTGAATATTTGCCCTTCTGTGCATTAGGGTCACCATTCATCCAAGTTTCGATTTCATCCAAAAGCTCTTTAAAGCTGATCAGCTTAGGTTCATACCAGTCGTCGTGATCGGTTTCCTTTTCATCATCGTTCAGCAGTCTTTGAACTGAAGATTGTAAGTCCATAAACTCTGCTAAATAATTACGAAACGTTTTCATATGTTCATCTATGGAGGTTTGCGATTCTCCAGCATCAATTAGTGCATGAATGTCATTTCTTTTTCTTGTCAGAACGCCGAGTTTGGCTCTGCGCCTTTTAATTAAATCAAAAAGTTCTCGTTCCTTCATTTTCAACACAAAAATTCGTTTCAGTAGATCCAACAGATAAATTGTCCAACACAAACATTTCACATTGCAGCTCAGTGTCTCTGCTCATTCCAGCAAAGTGTTGCATTTACTCACAAACTTCGTGCGTCTTCTCCAAGTCTATTCCATGAAGTTTCAATCATCCAAGTCCAATCGTCTCATCTTCCAAGCTTTTCTGATTTACAAGCAGGTCCAAATGATTTTTTTAAACTTAAATGTCGTGGCCTTCTAAGTTCCAAACCAAAATAATCCAAGAAAGGCCGTGTGCGGCAACATGTGGTCAGTTTCTTGAACGCACTTCCAACTTGATTGTTTGAAAAATATATTTAGTTTGTTTCCCCAAAAAATGGACAAAACAATAACTAAAAAATCTCTTACAAATTGGATGAAAACAAAAGTTAACTTAATCTCATTTTAAAAGTTCAAAAAGTGTTCAAAAAATCATTCTAAAACCTCCCATCATCACACAGGACATTTGACAAACAAAAGCCTTCCACCACATCCCTCTGGTTTGTTCTTAATCCCTTTAATTAATGGGCGGGTCCAAAAGCTACCAAAGTTATCTAAACAATTCCATAATAAAAAATTAATTGCAGATTTTGATTCCAAGTTAACTAAAATATATTTTAACTGACCAAGGAAAAACTAAATTGATGGAACTTGTGATTTACAAACATTCCACATAAATGGCCACAACATTATTATTATTTTTCTTATCTGTCCAAAGGACCTGACTTAAGTTTGTTACATTTAGGAAATGTTCTAAAATAATTTATTTGACCATTTTTTTAAGCATATGAACACAAAGTTGAGTTAAAAAAAAAAGATTTTTCAGCATCAGGTCATCAATCAAATAACATAAATGTGCTCTATAATCATCTTTTGCCTATTATTTTGCATGTGTGAGCAGTTTTGTGTGCATTCTCATCACTCCACCTGTCCTGTCCAGTGATGACAGCTGTAAGCGTCGAGACCAGGACACCCAGAACTCCCAGCAGGCACTGCCAGGGGGACGCCCAACACAGCGTGGCCAGGATGAGAGCACCGCTCAATGGGCTGTTGGCCAGAATCACCCTGCTCACCCCTCTCAGTCCCCACACGAGCAGCTGCATCACAAACAACTTGTCTGGGGAAACAAGGAAAACAGCCAAATAATCCCAGATGTTATGAAAGGTAATTTACTGCTCAGAACATATTTCTCAGTTGGATCCTTTGGCTGCCAGTTCAGGGTTTTTGTTAAAGGAATGACGATGAGGTTTTAGTGGTTCGTGCTGAAGGAGGAGCATATAGCATATAAGTTATGAATGATTATTGTAATTTCACACAAACTTTTTATCATTCATTGTATTTAGAGAAAACTTTAGGAATCCTTTCACTTTAACAATTTTTTTTTTTTTGGTATTGCAGTTTTCCTACCCTGCATGTACTTATCCAAGTGCTCCATGTCTCCGGTGCACAACATCAGCCCGTCCAACACAAGTCGGCTGCAGCTGGTACGACTCCTGCTGCTCTCCATCTCTGTTTTGGTTTCCATCCACATACAAGCAGCTGCAGGACGTCCTCAATACAAATTGGGTGAACAGGTTGCACTAATCCAGGATAATCCTAAAGTTTCTTTTTGTTCTCTTACTCCTGTGTTTGTGGCTCTGCGGCTTCTCGCCTTCTGGGTCATCCCTTCTCTCCCGTCTCCCTGTTCCTTCTCTGTTCAAGTGGAAGGAGTGACTTATAAACTTATTCACGCTGCCTCCTCTGGCAGACAAGAACAAAGTTCAATGCTGTCAGCTGTGGTTACAGCAAAGCAGAACAGTCTGGTGTTTTTTTTCCTGCCTTGTTTTCACATTTCACAATCACTTGGTCTTCTTTCAGCCCATTCTTGACGTCTCCACCTCCTGGTTGTACATTTGAGCTACTCATCTACATTTTATTACACCGTATGGATAAATGTTTGTTATATTTGGCGGTTTTACCTTTCATAAACAGAAAAGTTTTACAGGAGGATGACACCTGATTTTTCTTTGCTTTACTATAATTGTAGAGAACTAGGAGGAGCGGTGACATAGAGGTTGGAGAAGTGAACCTGTGATGGTTCAAATCCCCCCTGCTGACTGTAAAATGTGGAAAAGGTGAAGAATACACATCTGCCTCCCCCTGCCCCTGCAACCCCCAGGCACCCTAGATGGCAGCCCTCTTCTCCACATATGTAGCTGTGGTAGCTCGGTGGTCTGTGGTTGCATCAGAACGGCATCCTGTGTAAACTAAATGCCAAATCAATTGATGTGGTGACCCTCGAAGAAGGGAGCATTTGAAAAAAACAACAACTATAATTATAGAAAACAAGTTTTAACTTTCTGGCCTTGAAAAAGTAACTGTCATTTTTTTTTGCAGTTTCATGGATGTGAGCTTCATAAACACTTTGGACTCCTGACAAACTACTGGTAAATTCCCTGCTGAGCTTCCTGGATCATGTGTGCAAGCTACACACAGAAAAGCCAGGAGGTGAACCCGCAACATTTTTGCTTTGAGGTATAGCTCTAACAACTGTGCCACTGGGCTGCCTCAACGATGAGGACACCCAATTTTTTTTATTTTTATTTTTTTCTTGATGGCCTCCCTTCTCCCCTTACAGCCATCCTTTCCACACCATTATTATGAAATATTTATTATAGTGACTATCTAGTGTAGGGTTTTTTTTTTTTTTTTTTTTTTT